AATACTTTGAATTACTCCGTATAGACATAATGTAAAAAGGACGTTTATTTATTTGTCTCTTGCTGGTAATATACTATAACACGGTCATTGCTTTGTATAAATTATAGTTTGATTCCAGATAGGGCTAATTTAGGAAACCAACTTTTCTGAGTTTTCTCCCATGGTCGTATGTAGTTTTCTTAACAGAGGAAATTCTAACTTGAAGACCAGGCAATTCAAATAACCGTGTAACACAAATTACAACTAGCAAACCTTACTTATTTAACTATTTGTAACGGTTGTGTTTCCTTTGACAAGATATAATAATCACTCGTTATAGAAGACGACATTAGTAACTTCTAACAAAAAGTAAACGACTTTTGCAAACAAGCTGACAGCGGACATGATGGAAAATGATACTCGCATGTAAAATTATGCACTACACACTTGCTCAACCTAAGGATCGTTAATAATTAATAAATTTGCATAAAGGAAAAATCTCAATACTTGTCTAAATAATAAAACACAGTGTGAAATAATATTGTTAAATCACTAAAAATAAAATAAAATGATTCAAATGATTATCTATAATTTGCATTTTCTTTGCATCTCATACAAAATGTTCAGCATTTACATTCCATTCTTTAATTTATGACATACCTACGCATTGCAAATCAAAAATCATCATTATAAAGTACCGTGAAATGATCGACTTTAATGACATGTATACGTATTTAATGACATGTATGTGTATAACTCACTACGTAACGTATACAGAATTTTGATTATAAGTACATATTACAATTCGCCTGATGAATAAACCATTTTTAAACCATCTCTATATTACACAAAATTTGTATAATTTCGTGTAATATAAATAATAATTTCCATGCTTTAAGTTACAAGCGTTTCATTAAAAAATATAAAAAAATAAGTTTCTTTATATATAAAAAGGTTGCACCGACAAGAGGAAACTCTTAAATGAAAATGAATGAAATATATAAAAATATTTTAAATTTAAATACAGATCCAAATCATATTCAGATCATATTTATTTATATATTTTGTACAAAATAAATATTAACTGCATATAAGAAATGTAATTAATATTTTTTTACTTTTTTTTCAGGTTATTTTGTTGAAATAAAGCATTAAGTTTCAAACTGAGGTATAAATAAAAATCTATGGACAATTCACATTGTGATCAGAAATATAAAATCTACTGAAAAAGAACATTGGGGCCATTCATACTGTAATTTGAAGCGCACATGGTATGAAACGCCCAAAGACACGTAAAAATGAACTTGCATTGCACGACTGGCCCGTAATTACAATCAGACGATTACCTGTACTCGTATTTTATCGATTTACATACATGATTGACCAATATCAAAATTATCCAAGTAAAACAACGATATCGATAAAATGTTTATTATAATTATATCAGTTAACTAAATGTCGACATTTGTAATTAAATAAAATTATGATGCCCTCCCATTCTGTGTTTTTGAAATAATGATGTAATGGTTTTCGGCAAAAAAACTTCGCTGTTAATTTGCTAATTAAAAGGTTCAACATATATTGTCTCTCCATGTTTTTTATTTCCAAGAATACTTTCATTGGACTATTATGCACATAATAAAAAATAAGCCAAATCCGTTCAAGCATTATCAAGTAATATGCTTATTAACAAACAATAAATATAGATAAATTTATTTATAACGGTCTAATTATTCATAATATTTTTATGACAAATACGCTGATGGTCCACCCGGTAAAAAGTGATAACCGCCACATATATACGTTAACATCACACCGTGATACCCATAGTACTCTGATACGTTTCTATTATTTTAGGAACTGCATTTTAATGTAGTATGCAAAAATCCGAAAGACATTTAATGCTATGGTTTTTTATGCTATTATGTGTTGGCTCTTGAGAGCTGAGTATATACATAAGAATAAAGATATATGCTAAATATCTAAAAACCTTTAAGTAAACGACACTACAATCTTTTGAAAAAGTAGTTTAATTCGAAATACTAAAATCATATTATTAAATTATAAAAAATAATTCTCTTTCATACTAAGTAATTATTAATGATGAAAACTCCGATAAATTGCTTATTGTAGCATGCAGTGGTGATGAGCAAATTGGAATTTTCTGTTATATATAATATAATCATAAATAGCAAAGTTTTACTCATTAAAAGCGTATGACATGGTAGCTTAAATAATTAAGATTGTGCTTCACAAAACCCGATTTTAACTGTGCCCAAACCATATGTTTTAGTTTAAAAGTAAACTATTTAACTGATTTGATAAAATTTCTATGCGACCAATCTGTAAGGATATCCTTTCAGATAAAAAAATAAATCGTTTTACAACTGACGGAGTTATGAGGTAAAAAACATAAAAAATACAACCAAATTGAGTAATCCCTTCTTTCTGAAATCGGTTGAAAATAGAATTATGACTTTTATATTAATTTTCCTGAAGACATAAGTTAATTGTAAATTTTGTTTTTGTTACACAAATTTGTTTGTACCAGATAATGCCATGTTCCTGAAAATCTACATAATGTACTACGATCATACAACAGGAATACAAATAAATCTCAGCTAACATAACAAGCTACATAACAATATATTTTTTTTATTATACTCTATTCGAGGAGTAGCTCTATCTACACATATACACGTTTCGATAATAATATTTTGTCTTGTCGCGATGTAGCTAATCGGAATAAGTCTACCATACGCATTAACCCATTAAGAACATTGCAACCGGCTGAAACTTGATACCGTATTGCGTTTCGTATCAGAATGATAATAGTACCTGTCTTCGATCCAGAAATCAGATGTTATCTCAGTAAATAATTATATTATACACTGCGATAACAATATTATAACGTGCAAGAAACGAGTCTAAATGATCAGAGCTATATTTAACAATATGTGATCATGAGTTTTCAAAGTGAGGGGTGTGTATGTATCGTGAAGACACATTTACGCAAAATAGCTCGCAAAGAGTACCGACTTATGAATATTTACCTAAGAGTACTTTAGAATATAGTAAATGGCATGAACTAATTAAGACAATTTAAAATTATAATTAATCCTAAACTTTCTAGTCATGTTGTGTAAAGGTGGTATGTGTGAGACAGAATCTAAGAAAATGCAAATCCTACGTTGCAACTTGGAATATTTTTTAAAATAGGAGTCTGACTCACATATGTTTGGGAGCCTCTATCTTAAATCGGTCACAGGCAATGTAAGTGTACAGACCCTAGAATAATTTTGCTATATTATTAAGTGGTTACATACTGTTAAAATCCAATTTAAATGCAAACATTACTGGCATAAACAACCCCTATATCGTAAATAAACAAGAGTAATTATAGATTATGGAGTAAGTAGTTCCTTTAATTCATTGTAACAACTGGCAACTAACAAATTTACGTACTCTTTATCCACCGAATTAAAACGTCATATTGTACTAATCAGTCATCCCTAAATTTAAAATGTGAGTAAACTGACATAAATAATTACAATACAGCATGACCCATGATAATTATTATTCGACAAAAACGTTATACTCGTACATTGATACTATCGAAACTAATTATACGACGATATTTTATCTAAAGGGAAATCGCGCGTTTTCCCTCGCACAGAACCTGTTTCTTCCTTTATTGTTTAATGTTTCTAAAATAATTTTAATTATTGGAAGCTCATAATATATATATATATATATATATATTATAAGTTATTGAAAAGGAACTTTTTTATAAAGATTTAAATAATCGCTCAACTCAGGAGCAATCGACAAAACGCGCGTCTCCTCTATCTCATCTGGAATTATGATAATTATAATATCGAGCACATTTTATAAATAGTTAATATCTACAGTCAAACTTGAACTAAAGATTCAAGATAATGCTCGTTTACAACAACTATAATGTCAACGCCTTTATGAATTGTCATAGCAATTAATCTTATGAGAAACTGTTGATATTTTTTTCTTATTCTTTTATTTTTACGTTATTTTATATACTTTTTATGTTATTATTAGATACTACTTACTAGTTTAAAATTCTTTTTATTAATCTATTTATATGTTTTTAATAAAACTAATAATTTAGTGTATTTATTTGTACTCATCTACCTATTTACATAACGCCTTTTTAAAGTTTAATAAAATAATTTTATTTGTAACCTACTGAAATAGGTTTCAATAATCATAGATAAATACATAACTACGTAGACGTTTACTTTCGGTTTTCGTCATAGATAAAAATTCTGCAATTCATGGGTAAATATATTTACTTAAACATATTTTTCATAATTAGTTCAATGTTGCTACTATTAATTAGTAGTTACTAATTATGATAATAAAAAAAAACAATAATCACCTGTAGATAAATTAAAACAAGTAAATGTAACAATAATGATAATTAAAATGCCACTATAACGAAACAACTCAAAAAATACATCGATTACAAAAAGCATGGCCAGACATACCTAGGCACGCGACAGAACCAAGAATCTTAAGCTGACGGGTTTCCTAATTGGGACGGAAACCAGCTCATAAAAACAAGTAGGCTCTTAAAATAAAGTATCATACAAAAACTATTTTAATGCAACATAATATCACGTATATAAATAATTCATTGTGGTTACTTATCGTTTTAAACAGAGTAGAAGAAAAGCGCCCAGCAGGCGTCATCTATCCAAAACATCACGGTGATCTCTGTATAAAAAAGAAAAAAACTTTTTTAAATAACTTCCTGAATAAGAAGATTCTTAACTTGCCTTATATTTTTAGGGTTCCGTACCTTGAAAGAAAAACTTAACCCTTAAAGGATCACTTTGTCCGTCCGTCTGTCCGCTAGTTAAGATCCTTTTTCTTAGGAACGCGTGGAGGTATCAAGTTAAAATTAATATCAAATACTTAGGTCTGCAATATCTTAAAGAAGTGAATAATAAAGCTTCAAAATCACTCTTGCGCGAGCATTCGTGTGGTGCGTACGCGGCGCAGGTATCGGAGAACGTATAATTAATATAATAGTTTTCTTAATCTACCTACATTAAAAATATGGAATCCGATGTAATTGATGATGATAAATCTATAAATGGGAATGATGAAAACGACTCTGATATCATACGCGAGTGTGAACAGGAGTTAAATGAAATCTTAATGGAAGGAAAAAGTTATGATGTTTCGGAATTAGAAAATTCCCATATGGATTGTGGCTCAGAAAAAAGATTGGAGAAGCGAAAGGAACGTGAAGAAGATGATGCTTTTAGTGAAGATGGTTTTGTGACGATTGTTAGAAGAAAGGCGAAGCGATATTTAAGAAGTGATTCCATAGAACAATCGCAGACGACACACGGGACAATATCGGAGGAAATTGGGAATATATATGAAGTATGTATCACATCTTCGAAAGAATTGCCTAAACAAATGGCTATGGCTAAACTTCTTCGTAATGAAAACATATATAACATAACTAGAATCAAGTACAAATCGCCCTTTAAAGTCCTGATACGATTTGATAGTGATAGTGACGCTGACAAACTGATAAATTGCCAAAAATTTCGAGAACTGGAATACAAATGTCAAAAAACCTTCGATTCTTCAATTTGCTACGGTCTAATTAGGGGTGTAGATCTGGAGTTTAGTGAAAAAGATATTTTAGATGTTCTAAAAAGTGAAGTTAACATTTTGGCAATAAGAAGACTCAAAAGACTTGATCTAGAGGGCAAATGGGTTGATAGCGAAACTATGCGAATATGTTTTCAAGGTACTGAACTGCCTCAGTACTGCTTACGAATGTTATTTTAATGTAGATAGGTACGTTTTTCCTGTCACGCAATGTTCAGGATGCTGGGAATTCGGACATAATATAAAATTCTGCCCGAAAAAGAAAATGTTATGTCCAAAATGTGGGAGTAAAGATCATATTAATTGCGAGATAAAAACATTCAGGTGTCTTAATTGTAAAGGACTACATTTCGTTTTGGATAAAACCTGCCCGATGTACCGTAAAGAAAAAGAAGTACGTGAATTAATGAGCAGGGAGAACATTCCTTATAGACAAGCACTTCAGATGGTGAATGATGTAAAAAAGCAAGTAATTAAGAAAATAAATTTGACTGAAAATAAGAAAATCTATAACAGTCAAGATATAGAAAGAAGAGATACCCAAGCATGTAATGATGCTAAAGGACGCTCTTACAGCCAAGTATTAACAACTAATCAGACCGGTAGGGAGCTAAGCCCGGAGTTAAATACGGAAGAAGAAATTAAAGTTTCGAAAACAAAGAAACAAAGAAACAGAAAATATACAAAAGAAAAACATTATGAAAATAAACAAGATAATAACATGGAATACGAGGAGCTGGAAGTAGAAGAAGAGAAAAATATAATTGAAGAGGGAAACAAACGACAAAGAAGATTCGATCTAAAAAAAATATTATTAAAAATTCATGCTACGTGGGTGTCAAAAGACACTTTTGAAGATAAAGTTAGTGGTGTCATTATGGTGTTATTTGAAGAAATTAAGTGTTGTTTAATTAACATACTATCAGGCCAAAAGTTGTTAGGAACGCTTATAGACTTTTTACATGGAAAAGTCCCTTAAACATACTGTTGTCAATATTATTCAATGGAATGCGCAAAGTTTAAAACCAAAATTAACATGTTTTGGAGAATTTTTGATTAAAGAAAAAATACATATTGCTGTACTATCTGAAACTTGATTAGATGTGAAAGATAAGGTAAATATAAATGGCTATAATATCTACAGGAAAGATAGACACGACTCCTACGGAGGAGTGGCAATAATCGTTCATCGGTCTCTACGATGTCAGGTAAACATAATTAACTTACAAAATCCGGGGATAGAAGCTATAAGTATAAGGTTGTACAACTGTCATCAATTGCAAAATATTGTGTCTATTTATTGTCCGTCATCTGTTCGTACACAGTTATCAGATTGGAATGAACTATTCTCACTGTTTCCAAACAAGTCCTATATAGGGGGAGACTTTAATGGTCACCATAGTAATTGGTCTCAAAGGTCAGATATAAGAGGAGTACAGCTAGCTGATGCGGCTTTAGAGAATAGTTTTATAGCTCTTAATACAAAGATAGCTACTAGAATTAAACTAGTCAATAGTGTCCTTCAACAGACGTCCCCAGATATATCCTTCGTGTCTAGTGACATTGCCTTAAACTTTGATTGGCAGGTATTTAATGAAAATTTAGGCAGTGACCACCTTATGATTAAAACATCTATTAATATCCCAAAATTTAACGATGGTTTTCAAAAACGCAATTATAAAAAAATTTATTGGAAAATGTATACCAAAAGCCTTGATGAATCATTTGGTGACGAAGTGCTTGCATCCGTTAGTTATAATGAATTTTCTATTCAAGAAATGTATAACTTTCTACTTAATCAACTTAATAAAGCTGCAGATATAAGCATTCCTGTAATTAAGATATGTACTGACCCAGTATCCAAATTTAAACCTAAAAATTATTGGAAACCATCGCTATCCCTTGCAGTGGCTCAAAGAAGACTAGCACTTAGTAAGTTCCGCCGTAACCCAACACCTAATAATTTAGCTTATTTAGAAATAAAAATCCAAGAAACTAATAAACTTATAAAGCAAGCTAAGGCTACCCAGTGGCATAGCTTTTGTAGCTCAATAGATGAAGAAGTCTCTGCATCAGAAATGTGGCACCGTATGCGATGGGTGAAGGGTACTCGCGGAGTTAAGTCTTATATATCGATAGAAAAGAAAGAAGAATTATTGCTTTCTCTTACCCCTGATTCGGTTACTAATAAAGATCCCAATTTTACATCCATTAATAATACGCTAGAAATAGATTTTACAATGCAAGAACTTGAAAGTTGTCTAAAAAAAAAAGATACTGCACCAGGGGACGATAGCATTACATATAGTATGATTTATAATATCCCGATAGAAGGTAAAAGATTCTTGTTACGGTTATACAATCTTATATTCCACTCAGGGAATCTTCCACGGCAATGGCGGAATGTGCTAATCCTACCTGTGCCTAAAAATGGAGATTTGCCCTCTGCTAACTCTAAATTTAGGCCAATATCTTTGATGACATGCTTGTGTAAAATCTTCCACACAATGTTGTTGAGGCGTTTAGAGTGGTTCGCCGAGAGAAAAAATACATTTTCACAGTGCATGGTAGGCTTTAGGAAGTCCCGGTCATGTTTAGATAGCTTGTCTCGTTTAGTGACTTATATTCAAATAGGATTTTCTCATAATAAACCAACATTAGCCTGTTTCTTAGACATTGAAAATGCCTACAATAACGTAATTATCGAGAGTGTACTGAATATCCTAGATGAGCTAAAAGTAGGCAGCAAGTACTGTAAATATTTATGGTCATTTTTGAAAGAGAGACATCTACAGATTAAATCTGAAAACGGAGATAATACAATCACAAGATACACGAACAAAGGTTTGGCACAGGGCGATCCTCTTTCACCTTTTCTTTTCAATATAGCGACTCACAAAATTTGTAAATCATTAGACCATATAGTGCAAATTTCACAATATGCTGATGACTTTGTTATATATATTGCAGACAAAGACATACAAATTTGCGAACTACGCATTCAATCAACTTTAAATTCTATAATAGACTCATTAAGCAACTTAGGTTTACAGCTGTCGGTTGTTAAAACTAAATTTTGCCTTTTTAGTCGAGGTCATAGAAGAATTCTTCCTAAATTGACTATTAACGGCTGCTCAGTAGCTTCAGCAGATAGTGTTAAATATTTGGGCTTATGGTTGGACAGGAGTCTCCTTTGGCGTAAACATATTAATGAGGTTATGGAAAAGTGTACGAAATTTTTGAATTTGCTTATGGTTTTGGCAGGATCAGCTTGGGGTGTACACCCTAAACATATTCGACGACTTTATATCTCTATAATACGTAGTAGACTAGATTACGGTTGTTTTTTGTTTGACAGTAGTGCGAAAGTTCATTTATCAAAATTAGATAAAATACAAAATCAGGCATTGAGATTAATAGGTGGTTTTATCAAAAGTTCTCCAATACATGTAATGGAAAGTGAACTCAGTGTCCCCCCATTGCAACTAAGAAGAGCATACTTAGCATACAAATATGTTTTGAAAACTGCTTCATTATCGGACAATATTATGATTGACTTATTGCAGCAAATTAGCTCTCTTTGTGGTACACAATACTGGCAAAAAAAGAAAATACCACTTCTAGTAGAATCCTTTAATAAAACGAAGAATATAAAAGTCCATCAATCTCGTGTTATTGGTTTGTTTAGTTTAGATATTTGGCTTTCATGTATCGATATAAAAAATATAGCTCTTAGTACATTAAATTCCGTTAGAAGTTCCAAACAATTATATGAAAGTAATGCACTTAAATTCAATGTACTGGAGGAACTTAATAAAAAATACCATGGGTGGCGTATATTATTTACGGATGGCGCAAAGAGTGGTGATTTGCAGGGAGCAGCATTTTTTGATCCAACCGGACGTGTGTCTGAATGTTTTAAAATTAAAAATAATGTGTGTATAATGACGCTTGAACTCATTGCAATTTCCGAAGCGCTGAAATACGCTGCTAGTTTAAATTGTCAGGAAATTGTAATTTATTCGGACAGTAAAAGTGCTATACAACACTTGGCTCGATGCGCCTCTGGATACAGAGGTGTTTCGATAGCCTATATTATACTGGCCCAGATTCATGCATATTACTTGCGCGATAATGTAGTTAAATTGCAATGGGTTCCAGCTCATATTGGTATAAAGGGTAACGAAGAGGCTGATAAACTGGCAAAATCAGCAATTTCATGTGGTAAGCAACATGATATTAATCCATGCTATTCGGAAGTATTACCTAAATTCAAAAAAATATGCCAATTCCAATGGAAAGAATATTTTGATGAGCGTTCAAAAACAAAAGGTATTTGGTATAAGACAATTCAATGTGAGCCTCTTCTGATACCTTGGTTTTTAGAAAGTAAATTAAATAGAAATAAAATTAAGTTAATTTTAAGAATCAGATCTGGTCACTATCCATCAAGAAAGTTTGCATATTTAATGAAAAAAGAAAATTCACCAAATTGCATTGTCTGTGGAAAAGTTGAAGATGTGCAGCACCTATTGATGGAATGTGATAGGAACCGAAGGGAAAGGGAAACATTTTTAAAAACATTTAATATTAATAAATATGATGTGGGGATTGTTCAGAGCATAATGCATGCTCCTACTACCAAAATTGCTTTGTGTTTAATTGAATTAGTAAATAGTATTGTTTAGTCATAATTGTAATAGTAGAAAACTTGTTTAGATTTTATGGGATTGACATGTTAAAAAACAAAAATCCCAAATTAAACGTAGATTAAAAAAAAAAAAAAAAAAAAAGCTTCAAAATCGACGCAATCAAAAGATACGGCCATTTATATTCATATGTATATTTTGACATTCGCAAGGGGAATTAAAACCTATAGGCTCTTTCCCGTTCACCTAATTAATCATGAAGTAAAAAACAATATCATGTAGCACAAGTAAAGGAAAAAATCCGAAAACCGTAAGTTTGTAGTTATTGCACAAAAAAACTTAATCTTGATGATTTTGTTTGGAACCTTCGTTGCGCAAATCCGACTCGCACTTGACCGGATTTTTTATTTTACCACCATATAATTTATCTCGTCGATTCAGAACAGATTTTTACTTACGTTTTTTTCCGTATTCCTGGGACTAATGTCCCATATTCAATTTATGACCACTGATGCCAAGAAAAAAATCTACTTGTTGCGAAACAAAATGTAGATTTTGCGTTCTATATTCAGATAATTTCAATAGATTTTATATATGTTAATATAATAACTACCGGTTTAACTTCCGTGTTAGAGTAACTTGTAACTCACCAGAGGGAGACTTTGTACAAAAGTCGTTTGCTTGGGTTACCTCTGTCCCATTCGTGTTTCAACCGGCCACATGATGGAAAGTGGTAACCGTCGCCTATAGACTTGAGCAGTATGTTATTCTTCTGTACCCTGTAAATTCATTGCCATATCCTACCCATCAAACCGAAACACAACCATGCAAATACAACTGCTTCATGGTAGAAACACGAATGAGACAGAGGTACCCAACCAAACGACTTTTGTACAAAGTCTCCCTCTGATTAAAATAAAATACAGTAAAAATGAAAACGAAATAAATAAAATATTAAATTCAAAATTGTCTTTTTTATTATTAATTATAGACAACTACTGCGAATTAATTCCTACGAAATTGACCCCAAAAATATGCTGTTATGATATTTATTGCTCTGAATTATTGGTAAGGCACTTAAACTAAACATTAATTCTGCTATCAAGTACAATTAAAGAAACATGATAAAGGCGGTTCTACTTTTTACTACATCGGTAAAACCCATATAAATGTCAAATAACAAGATTGTCCGTTTATTCTATTGTCCGGTATTTCGTACATATTATTTATTTTTATATGAAAAGTTCATGCATAAATATATAAAAGAGTAGGTATATATCGTAAGTATTTCCCATTATATATTCTCTAACTCAAACATTCCATGAGTGAATATTGTATGTAAGTATAGAACAAAATGCTGCTTTGATGGACACATTAT